CCCCCCAGCCTGCCCCTGCGGTTCTGGGTGAACGTGATCAAGAACCCGCAGTTCGTGTTCGACGTGCACAAGAGCAGCATCACGGACGCGTGTCTCTCCGTGGTGGCCCAGACGTTCATGGACTCGTGTTCCACGTCGCCCCAGCGCCTGGGCAAGGACTCGCCCTCCACCAAACTGCTCTATGCCAAGGACCTGCCCGGCTACCGCGGCTGGGTGGAGCGGTGAGTGGGGGGAGCCAGGCGGGGGGCAGCGAGAGCTGGGGGCACACTGCAGGGCGGAGTGGGGGGCAGGGGAGGGGCTGTGATGAGCAGGGGGGTTGGGGGGAGTGGGCGACGCAGGGGGCTCCCTGATGGGGGGAGAGGTGGGGGAGGGGCATCAGGATACAGGGGTTGGGGGGTAGAAGGGGTAACGGGGCCGTGGGGGGACAGTGGGGGGAGGGGCGCTGGGATGCGGGGGGAGGGGGTAGAAGGGGTAACGGGGCCGTGGGGGGAAAGAGCAATGGGGAGAGGTGACCCTGCCCCCCCTCACCCTCTGCCCCCCAGGTACTACCGGGACATCGCCAGGATGGCGCCCATCAGCGACCAGGACATGGACGCCTACCTCGGGGAGCAGTCGCGGCTCCACGCCGGGGAGTTCAACACACTGGGGGCGCTGGGCGAGCTCTACCAGTACGTGGGGCGCTACCGCCAGGAGGTGAGACCCCCGCCCCCCCCATGGCTGCCCCCCCCCCCCCCACCCCCCCCCCCCCCCCACCCCCCCCCGCCCCTGCGCAGCCCCCGCCCCACCGCCCCCCCGCCCCCCAGTCCCACCAACCCCGCCCGGCGCTGGGCGAGGCCCCACCCCACTGCCCCCCCCACCCTCCCAGTCCCACCAACCCCACCCGGCGCTGGGCGAGTCCCCACTGCCCCAGTTCCCCCTGCTCCCCCCGCCCGGTGCTGGGCGAGCTCTGCCAGCACGTGGGGCGGGAGGTGAGACCCCCCCTAGGTGCCCCGACCCTGCCCCTCGCCCGCAGGTGCTGACGGCGCTGGAGCGGGACGGGAGCTGCCGGAAGCAGCGGCTGCGCCAGCGACTGGAGCAGGTCATCGCCTTGGTCTCCACCAACAGCTGAGGGGGGCTGGCCCCATGGCCAGCCAGTGCGACCTTCGACCTCCTGGGTGACATCACCTTCGACCTCCTCCAAGACAATGTGACCTTCGACCCCTGGCTCAGGGGCAGGCTGACTTTTTGGGGGATCCCCCCAATGCCACCAGGACCGGGCCTCGTAGCAATAACCCAGAGGGGCCACTGGTGGCGATGGGGGGGTGCGACGGGGGGACAGGGCTGGGGGGCGGATCTGTCTGGGCTGGAGCAATGACCCCCCTTTCCACCCCAATACCGGACCCCCGCCCCCAAAACTGTACAGCCCCCCAGTACTGTATGAACCCCTCCCCCAGCCCCCCAATGCACCCCCAGGCCAGCAGCTGAAAGGAGCCCCCCACCTCCCCCCTGTACAGCCCCCCCCAAATAGCTGTTGGAATTTGCCTCTTGTGTTGGTGACAGTGACAATGGGAATTGGAGATTTAACCTATGTCCCAGGGACCCCCCTCCCCAGCCCTTCCCCCCCTAGTTCTCCCAGCCCAGAGACCCCCTCCGTAGCCCTTCCCCCAGCACCCCCTTGTCCCAGGGACTGCCCTCTCCAGCCCCCCCCCCAGCGCCCCCTTTCCTGGTGACGTGGTGCCTTAATTACTGAATAATTTATTGCGTCTCGGGGGGTTCGGTGTACATTTAGTCCCGGGTGTAAGAAATTTCAGTGTAACCCCCCCCCCGCGATATCTGTGTAAATAGTCGTACTGCGTGTGGGCTCGGGGAGGGGGGGTCTGGCTCCCCCCCCCCCCGAGATTTGGGGGAAGCAGGGCAGACCCCTTCCCCCGCTCCCACTCGGCTGTTTTCTCTGTTCATTTTATAATTAACTTTTCTTTTGCTAATTAAAGTGCTGGAAAAAAACCAACCGCCCCGAACTGGGCCATTGTGTTGGGGGGGTGTCATATACCATGGTGGGGGCCGCACAGAGCCCCCCCCGACAGAGCTCGGGGTGTCCCCGTCACGCCGGGCCCCGCACGGACACCCCCCCGACAGAGCTCGGGCGATGTTCTGGAGCTGTTCCCCACAAAGCCAGTCAGGACTCTGGGGAGCCTCCTCTCCCTTGGAGCAGACTGTCTTCAGGGCAAGAAGCTCACACGGCTTCACCTCGTGGGTCTGACCTTGGAGCATTCAGCATATGCCCCTCCGTGTGCTTCCCACAGCGAGTCCGCCGAGGCGGGGTCCTGGGGAAGCCAGAGGTCCTGCACCCCCACTTCGCAGTCAGACGTGACTCTCAGCCAGCCAGTAAAACAGAGGGTTATTAGATGACAGGAACATGGTCTAAAACAGAGCTTGTAGGTACAGAGAACCGGACCCCTCGGCCGGGTCCATTCTGGGGCCCAGCGAGGCAGACATCCCCGTCTGCCCTCACTCCACGTCTCCAGCCAGCTCCAAACTGAAACCCCCTCCAGCCCCTCCTCTGGCCTTTGTCTTTTTCCCCTGGGCCAGGAGGTCACCCGATCTCTTTGTCTCCAACACCTTCAGTTGGCACCTTTGCAGGGGAGAGGCCCAGGACATCAGTTGCTAGGAGATAGAGTGTCGGGCATTTAGGTACACTGGCCCTTTGCTCTGCAGCAACCATACACCCTTATACCACCACCTAGGTACTTAAGAACTGCATAGGGGAAACTGAGGCACCCACACAGTATTCAGAGAAAACATTAAGAACATTCCCAGTTCGTCACACCCCCCAACAGAGCTCGGGGTGTCCCCGTCACGCCGGGCCCCACACGGACCCCCCTGACAGAGCTCGGGGTGTCCCCGTCACGCCGGGCCCAGCACAGACACCCCCCCAACAGAGCAGGGCTAGAGGGGGGGAGTTCTAACACCAAACGCTGGGATAAGAAGCTGCTGTTGAATCTGACTGAACCATGATGCTCGACAATCCAGTGGAACTTCCCACCACTGGACAACAGGAAAAGCTGATGGCAGAAGGGGCTTAGGGCCCAGGAGGCGAAGTCGGGAAGGTCGGGAAGAGGGGCAGTTTCTCTCCAAGGGGGAGCTTCTTGCTGGTGCTTCTGCTGGAGCTGGGATGGCTCAGGGCGGAGATTTCGCTCTGCCTCAGGTGGGGCGGGAGGGATTCGGGGCTCGTGCCCGGCCCCGCTCTGGCATCTGCCTCAGAAGCGGGCGGGGGCGGGGTGGAGGGAGGTGAAAGATGTCGTGGTGTCAGCTGGATGAATAAGTGATGGGTCCTTCAGCGCCGGGTGGGGAGGGGGAATTAAAAGAAGATTTAAAGGAAGTCAGGCACCCATTCCCCTCAGCCCGACCCGCAGCCTCTGCTAGCCCGGCCCTGCCCCGCAGCCCTGCCGGTGCCCCTCACTCCTGACCCACAGCCCCTGCTAGCCCAGCCCAGCTCTGCCGGTGCCCCTCACTCCCGACCTGCAGCCCCTGCTAGCCCAGCCCAGCTCTGCCGGTGCCCCTCACTCCTGACCCACAGCCCCTGCCAGCCCAGCCCTGGGCTCCCCCTGGAGCTTGCACCATCTATGCCTGTTGATTTTTAATTATTCATCTGCTCTCTGGCCAGGCAGCTGATGGGAGGTTAATGGACAGCAGTGGGGGGAGGGGGAGCTCCCCTGGGACCCCCCCACACCTGTCAGCTGCAGCTGGAGCTGGCTAACCAGGCCCCTGCTAAGCAGGGAAACCCCAGTTTACAGTTTGGATGGGAGACCGGGCAGCACAGCGCCCCCTGCTGCCCGGCCCTGCCTGTCAGGGGAGAGTGTCCCCTGCCCAGCAACCCCACCCCGCTCCCTGCCCCACGGCGCCCCCCCACAGCCCCCAGTCTTGCCTGACAAGGGAGAGCACCCCCTGCCCACCCCTCCCTCCACCCCACTCCCTGCCCCACGGTGCCCCCCCACACCCAGCTCTGCCTGCCAGGGGAGAGAGTCCCCTGCCCAGCCCCCTGCCCAACAGCACCCCCTAGTGCCCGGCCCTGACTGCCAGGGGAGAGCACCCCCTGCCCCAGCCCCCCCGCCCTGCTGCCCACCCCACGGCACCCCCTAGTGCCCAGTCCTACCTACCAGGAGAGCGCGCCCTCTGCCCAGCCCCCTGCCCCACTCCCTGTCCCATGGCACCCCCCCAGCTCTGGCTGTCATGTCAGGGACAGGTGGGAGGATAATCACATCAAAGGGCTGGGTTTCGGCAGCTCCAGCAGGATTAGTGAAAGCTGATGCCATGCCCCGGCAGCAAGGCGACAATTTGGGGGTGACACACCGGGTGTGTGTGTGTGTGTCACGGCTGCTGTAGCCGAAACCTGGAGGCTAATTCTACAAAGCAATGTGTGCTCCCCAGTCCAAGGGGTAATGGGGGGGGGGAAACACAGAGCAATGGGGGGGCTGCAGGATCGGTTGGGGGCCTGGGAAGAGCGGGGAAGCCAGGGGCTGTGGGGCAGGGCTGGGATGGGGGGTTGTGGCTTGGGGCTGGGCTAGCAGGGGCTGTGGGGTAGGCTGGAGGGGCAGGGGAAGAGTGGGAGGGGCAGAGGGATAGCACTGGCTGCATGTCTGGTGGGGGGGACACGTCTGCTCATGACACAGGCCTTGACCGACCCAGCCTGGCCCTTTGCACACCCAGGCCCGCTGGGGAGACCCCATACAGATGGCAGGACCCATATAATGGGGGGATTGCAGCCATGGGGGGAGGCCCAGCTCTGGTCCCCTGCCTCTGAAAGCCTTGCCAGAGCCCTCCCTCGGCTGCCCCCCACCCCAGCACCAACGGCCTCGTAAAGGCATTTTTAACGTTCCAGTCTCAAAAACACCCTGCGGGAACAAGTGGCGGAGCCATAGATCCGTGGCCAGGGGGTGGGGCGGGGCGGCCCGAGGAGGAACCAGACTAGTGTGGGGCCAGGCAGGGCCGGAACAGGTAGCTGGGTGGTGCCAAACACCCTCCTCCCAGGATAACAGAAATTGGGGCTGGGGGGAGGGTCCTTGGCTCAGTGCCAGGATCCTATAAGGAGCAGAGGGACCGAGCCAATATGGGGGGGCATGTGTGGGGGGCGAGCTGGGCAGGGGTGATGGGTTCAGGCCTGGCTGTCTCAGGGGGGGCTGGGAATGGGGCACCAGGGCCTTTCTCCCTTAGGGCGCCAGCTCGGCTCTGGCCCCCGGCTGCGCTCCTGGTTCCCAGCTCAGCCTGGCGTGGTGCCAGCCCTGTTCATTAGCCCCCTCACCTGGCCAGACCCCAGACCCATTAATAACAGCTCCAGCATCGTTAATGTCGCCCTGCCTGAGCCATGCCAAGGCCCCAGCTAATAACACAACCTTGGGGCCTGGGGAGGACCCAGGACTCCTGGGTTCTCACCCTGGCTCTGGGAGGAGAGTGGGGTCTGGTGGGGTGGAGCTGGGAGCCAGGACTCCTGGGTTCTCTCCCTGGCTCTGGGGGGAAGTGGGGGTTTACTGGGTTGCAGTTGGGGGGGGGCTGGGTTCATACCTCAGCCCCAAGTGCCTCAGTTTCCCCGGTGAGGGGGGGTGCAGCCCCTCCCCTCCACCCACACTCATTAAGGCAGGTCCAGCACTGTGATGTCACAAGCCGCAGCAGAAATGCTGAGTACAGTTGTAGGTCCTTCTCTAGCAATCCTGTTGGGTCCCTGCCTCTCCCAGGGTCCGCAGGGTGTGTGTGTGTGTGTGTGTGTGCGCATCTGTGTGTGTGTGTGTGTGTTCAACTTCTGGCATCTCCCAGGGCCGGGCCGGATGTGCGTGTGTGTTTCTTGGGGCTGGCCGGGGCTGGTCAAGGCCTGATTTGGTGCCCGGAGATATGGACAGGGTGTTGGGGGGGATGGGGGTTGGGAGAGGGGTGCAGGGCTGGGGGGGGGCTGTTGGATTGGTGGCTCAGGGGGGCTCAGGGGTGCAGCATGTCCATCCCCACCCCCAGGATGTACCGCTCGCCTGCAATGCAAACCTCAGACATGTTCCAGACCCATCCCTGTCTCGTCTCCCCCCCCACCGCCCCATAAATCTCCCCTGACGCGGATGGGGGAGGGGAGATGGTTGTGGCAAGCGCAGACCCCGGCTCGTAAAGATTAATTATGATCCACGGGGCTTTTAGCACATTAATCGCTTGATGCACAGTGACACGCGGCTGGCTGAGCCGATGGGATAGGGTGGGGCGGAAGCTGGGATCCAGGACTCCTGGGTTCTCCCCCCAGCTCTGGGAATGGAGTGGGGGCTGGTGGTTAGAGCGGGGGAGGGCTGGGAGCCAGGACTCCTGGGTTCTCTCCTGGCTCTGGGAGGGGAGTGGGGTCTAGTGGGTTAGAGTGGAGAGGGGCT